TGGAGCTGTCTATGAGGCTGGACCTCCTGGGGCTAGCTGCTTTGAAATCATCTAGGTTGGCTGGAAAGCACATCTGAATGAAGTACTTGGGGCTGTTGAGTTTGGAGCAGTTTGCAATAGTCAGTTGATTGCAAATTTGCTGGAACAGATAGAGATTAGGGATAGAAGGTAAAGTTAAAGGAGCTTAGGGGAAATATTTTTTAATAATTTATTTTTACTTTGCGCATTGGTTGGTGTTTTGGTTCTGTGTGTGTGTGTGTGTGTGTGTGTGTGTGTGTGTGTGTGTGTGTGTGTGTCAGATCCTCTGGATCTGGAGTTAATAGACAGTTGTAAGTTGCCATGTGGGTGCTAAATATTGAACTTGTGTTCTCTGGAAGATCAGCCAGTGTTCTTAACCTCTGAGCCATCATCTTCAGCTCTTAGTGGTAATCCCCTCCCCATCCCCAGGGTTTCTCTGTATTGCTTTGGAGTCTGTCTTGGAACTAGCTCAGTAGACCAGGCTGACCTCAAACTCACAGAGAGTCATCTGCCTCTGCCTCTCCAGTGCTGGGATTAAAGGCAGCACCACCAATGCCCCTCCCTAGGGGTACATTTTTATCTAGGGTGTACATTTGAAACTTTCAGACCCATGATCCTGTTAATTGGAGGACTGGATTCCCAAGACCAAGGGGAGAGAAGGTGGGGGAGAGAGAGAGGGAGGGACCCACAGAGGGAGGGAGAGAGAGAAAGATCCCAATCTCAGGAATAGGCAAGTGGGGAAAGTTTAGGAGTACTTGAGTCTGGTCTGCAAGAGGTAGATCCAAGTTGATTCCCTGAAGCCACTACCTAGATGGTTGCCCTAGGCTCTTGTGGTCTCTGTCTTCATTTTGGGCAGTGTTCATATAGGACAGCATTTAATCTTTAGCTGCCACACAGAGCAGCCTTGGCCAGACCCAGGTCTGAGAGGTGTTCCTGTGGAGTAGGACTTGGGGGACTTAACCAGACAGAGTAGGGCAGTCAACTCAAAAGTGTCCCTGGCAGCATCAAAATAAAGCTTTAAGCTATAAATACAGTCCATAGGGAGACTGGGAACTTTTCTGATTCTTTTGTAGTATACCATTTTGGAATATCAGCTTTTTGTGTGACTCAGTTTATCCAGATAACTAAAGCTTAACAAAGTGGACAGAGACAAAGAAGTTAGTTAGATGGATATTACTGTGACCCTGAGTAGACCTTAGGGATTTTTAGACCTTATTATCAAACATACCTTATTTATCAAACATATATTATCTGAGTTTTCTAGAAGCCTGGGGTTGAAGAGTTAGCAAAGATATAAGTAGTTAGTTGTAAGTCACTAAGTCAGCTTTTGTTAATCCAAGTAGACCTTTATAACGTTAAAAATTTTTCATCACAATTCATACCAATCCCCAATATTTTGGAGACCTATTGTTGTTTCATTAGTCTAGAAGGGGAAGCAGAGGGTTCAGTAGGACTAAAAAGAAATAGGTGTTGCCTTAGTTGGTTTATATTATATGGTCATCACAAGTCCCATGGCATATACCTTTAACTTTAGTAAAGATGGCTGAGCTTATTTTAAAAAAAAAAAATTTTTTTTGTAGATCACTTTTTATTTTTTAAACAAGAGTTGAATCCAACTGAGCAGTGATGGTGCACACCTTTAATCCCTGTACTGGGGAGGCAGAAGTCAAGGCTACACAGACAAACCCTGTCTTGAAAAAACAAAACAAAAGGAGTTGACTATAAGTTACATATACAGTATTTCTAAACAAGAATTGAATCATATATATGGTAGCTTGTACCAAATTATTAAGATTGCCTATGTATAGATTTTAATTATAAGTCTTCTGTTATAAGTTTAAAGTCAAGTCTTGTTACAGATTTATATTTTTAAAAACTATACCCAGTGAACTTAGAAATCCTGAGATAGAATTTACAGCATAGTCTGAAGAGACTTTGAGAACAGAGCAAAGAGAAATTGTAGAGCTAAAGATTTTTTTTAAGAGGAGGAAGTAGACATGTGGAGCAGAGCTGGTTTAGGCAAGAGAGATTTGGGGATCTTTTGTTTATACTGTGGCAGTTGTTACCATTTGTGAGGATTTGGAAATCAAGTGTGCCAATGTTTGGCCATTGATCTGTACTGAGGCCAAATTGCTTATAGTCTGGATGTTGAAAAATGAAACTCCTCTGGAGGGCATTTCTGTAAGACCCAAAAGGAGCTGTAAGAGAGAATATGTAGTGGCCAAGGTGGGCCCGGCTTAGAGAAGCTTCGGAATTTCTGGGAGAGGCCTGGGAGGGCTTAAGAGACAGACAGAGCCGGAAGCTCCAGAGGGCACAGACTTTAGGAGGGTGGTGGAGGGGGGCTGAAAGCAGAAACTAGGGACCACAGGGGGAACAGAGAGAGTGTGATGGACTGCAGGCTGGACTGACGTTCCTAGGGGGAGGCAAGAGAATGCTAGCTGAACTGAGGTGGATAAAGAGCCTTTGTGACAAGAATTTCCATCCAGGGCATCCCTCAAGGGGAATGGGAAACTTGTCAGAGAGAAAAGTGTTCCAAATCACAGAGGAAAGGTGTCCCTTCCCATGTGACTGAGGCCTAACTAAGTAGGGCGAGAGGAGCTTCCTGGCACACTGGTGTGGCTTTTGTAGGAATAGACAAAGCAGGCAGCTTGGGGTGACACCCAGTAAAGTGAGATGGAAGAGCAGGGGAAAAGGGAGATAGATGTTAAGTGTTTTTTGTAGAGAGATCCAGACGGATGTAGCAGGTTAGAGCTGAGATGTGAGGCCTGTGGCCCTGTGGCTAGGTGCCTTGGGAGGATGGAGAAGGATCTAGGAGTTGGAGATAAATTTATGCCATAGACCAGGAGAGGCATGGTTAGAGCATGAGGGGGAGAAGTAGTAAGAGAGTGGGGTCTAGAATTTGGGGTCAAATTTGATGGATGACAGGAGTCAGCAGAAACAAGTGATCTGTACAAACCTTAGGCGAGGCAGACCAGTAGCTTGGTTCACAATAGCCCAGTTCCTTGGAAGGGAACCCATATATGTCAATCCCGGCTTTTGGTACCAGATGAATGGGAGGGGGTGAGGAGAAAGAAAGAAAGAAAGGAAGGAAGGAAGGAAGGAAGGAAGGAAGGAAGGAAGGAAGAGAAATAAAAAAAGGAAGGACATGACTGCTCCTATGTGTGGTGGAGGGGAAGGTTTGTTGTAGATTTGAGGGAGAGCATAGCCAAAGGCAGGGATATCTGGGAGAGTTGAGAGTGGACCTGACCCTGAGCCAGGCCATGTGAGGGGAGGGGGGAAGGGAGAAGGAGAGACAGGAGAGTTAAGGGTAGATGGTGATGGTGAGGGATGTGTAACCAAAATGGCTGGATTATATAGGAAAGGAAAGCTCAGACCCTGGGCTGGAGAAATTAAGGGTAGGGGGTGGAATGTGCCAGCCATACCCTGTAACAAGTATGCAGGGAAAACCTGGCAGCCAGGTCACTTTGGTATGTTAAATAAACACCTAAGTTAGCTATGTGTCCCTGGAGTTTGATTTCACATGACTGGTCTATACGCTCAGCATTATAGCTTTATAATAAACATGTAATTTCTAAGAATTTTAGGGAAGTTAAGGGGTGAGTAATCTTTGTATTCTACCTTTTTTATTTTCTTTAAATAAAGAATGCAGGACTTAGATGACTCAACAGTCAACAGTTCCAGGAACTCCAGTTCCAGGATTATCCTATGCCCTCTACTGGCCTCTGCTGGTACCATGCATGCGGGTGATATATATATAGGCAAAACACTGATAGACATTAACAAATGTGTATGAGGTGGAGACAGCTCAGTTGGTGAAGTAAGTGCTTACTTTGTTTTTCCAAAGGCATGGCAGCACAAAACTAGGTGTGGTGGTGAGCTGTGCCAGTACTCACTGGAAGGTGGTGAAAGCTGGATTATCAGAAGTTCAGTCATTTTCAGGCATTTAGAGATCAATGGCAGTCTAGGATGAGCGAGTGAGTCCTTCCTTACTCAACAAACAAAAAACTCCCAAAAGAACAACAACAAAAAACCTAGTGTCTAAATGCCCTAAAACTGTTGTGACAAAATTAAAGGCATTGATACTATTTATTCCCATTTAGATAATAGCTATTTAAGCTTTCTGTCAAAAAACGGGCTTGATGTACAATTTAGAATGTATAGTTTGTATTTCAGTTCTTGAAGATGTTTATTGTAGTCTAGTTTTAAAGTTAGGTGGAAGTGATTGAATAAAGGTGGGCAAGTGGTTGGAGTTGATTGAAGTTGCTGAAAGTGGGTAAAACTCCGTTGTATTGGGTCACTCACTGCCAGTGTTTGGTTGTATTTGAAGATTGTTCCAAGCATGATGTAATACCACCTTAAGCTTTGAAGCTTCAGCTGACACCATTCAGGTCTGAAGTGCATAGGACTTTATGGGCCAAGGGTAATGCTTGTTTAAAAACAAGGCAAGCTACTCTAGTTTAATGAGGCCAGTTAAGAAAACGTTCCCAGAGTGGGATGAGAATATAACCTCAGTTTGGAGGTAGAAGTAGCGTTTACATATCCTGATTGTGTGCAATTATCACTGCACTGGAAGTTAGCATTTGAAATAGGTTGGCACACAAGTGGCAGAGTTAGAATTGAGGAAAATAGTAGTTGAGGCCTGGAAGTATTGAGTTGGGGGAGATTGTTTTTCTTGAGAATTCACAGGACAAAGTTGACTTAGGAGTGCTTTCCTGGTTCCCTTCCTCCCTGTATGTTTCTTAACCTGGAGCCTTAAGAAAGCACTGAAGATCCTGACCTCCGGAAACATGTTAAGTGCTGCCAAGTGCACAGGCTTCATGTTGCAGGTGGCGCCTGCCAGAGCTGCCCAGGTGGTCTGTGAGGCGGGGCTTAGGGCAAAGTCCGCCCCTTCTCCAGGCCCTGCCCCAGGCCTGCCAGGTGCTGGAGCCTATGCAGCAGGACCCATAGCCGCCTTCTGCTGACCAACCACCCAGTTTAGAGTTCATGGGAGGTGTTGTCTCTCCTGGGGACAGGCCACCCTTGAGCTACTTTAAGACTGAATGGAAGTGAGCAGCCTCCTATGCTTAGGAGCCAAGGGCCTCCGAGGGTCCTCTGGTGCAGGCTGGCCTTGTGGGTTGCAGGAACCTGCCGCCTCGATTCTTATGACCTGGAAGCCGCCCGAACCCCTTCTGCATTCCTGGAAGGGAGTCCTGCTTGCATGCTTGCCAACAGTTAGGACCAGGAAGAGGAAAGGTACCGACATAAATGCATCTTTTCCGAGACAGAAACTGGACTGCACGAATCCATAGATTCTGGTTTAGGCCACACTGCGAGTCTGACTGGCTCTGTGGTCAGCAGTGAGGGCTCCATGGAGCTGGAGCAACTCCTGCTTAAATACTGAGCTTCAGGTGTGTCAGGACTTCTGCCTCGTGGCTGCTTGTGGACGATAGGCTTTGTGGCTCAAGATGGCTGCATTCCACCCTTCTAACTCGGGAATGGTGTAGCAGTTTTCTGTGCGGTCATACTTCCAACCACATTTTGTTTATCATGCTGAGTAGAAATCAGTGTGCTTTCTCTAGTGTTTGGAAGGTAATAATACCATGTAACATGAACCGGAACTGCGCATAAGTGTTAGAGGTGTTTTGCCAGTTCAAAGCACTGGACTAGTGTTTTTCTTCTGAACTTGGCTATATTATGTTTAAACTGAGCTCTTTTGATGCGACCAGAGCTGTTTGCTTCGAGAAATCACTTTCCAATTACTGTGTTCCTTTAAGTGAGCCACAGATAACATGGTGGAGTAGATAGGAAACCGATGGCTTTGGTAATGCCAAATCCATTGACCTAAAGTGGATAAACCAGCTGCATAAAGAATCTGCTCAGATGGAAAGCATATTACAGAGGGGCCTTTTTATTGTGACACCTGGATCACAGGGCTTCAGATGATGAGAGTTGATTCATGTTTTATTCGTCCATGAGCCTGAGCAGTTGTGATAGAGTTTTATTATACTGTATGCGTTGGCAGTGAAAAATGAAACCAAGGAATATGGGCAAGCTAAACATATATTAATACTTTTTTGCCTTTTGAACTTTCTAGTATTGCTTTAGTGCTTTAGTAACAAAAGAAAATTAAACTTGGTGCTGTTCTTAGTCCCCTTATTTACAATGTTAAATTCCATTTGTATTGACTTGGTTACATTTATAACCACAGGGTTTTTTTTTTTTTTTTTTTTTTTTTTTTTTTTTTTTGAAACTTAAGGTCTTTGCAACAGAATGATTATAACTGGGAGGAATTGCTATATCAAGTATTTGGTGTAGTCTCAGGGAGTCATTGATCTTTTTTTTGGGGGGGGGTCAACTTCTGAGATAAATTATCTGCCATATCCCTCAGAGGCATAGTCCTGGGAAAGGAGTTTATTGTGCTTGACCCTCCCTTGCTGGTCCTTTCTCAAGATGACTCTGAAGTCATCTTGTATATAGTTGGTGTGTGCTGCAGCCACAAAGGGAACCCGAGGGCGCAGGGGAGTTCCTTGCTTGTTGAGTCTGCCCCTCATCCCATCCAGTGTTTGTGTCTCTGTGGTGCTTTTACCCTTACTTCCTCCTATTGTTTCCTGACATTCCCTTCCCCTTGCATGTTACATGCTGCAGAATGGAAGTAGAATGGACTTTTTTTTATAAATAAAATTTTATTTTAACACAACCATTTCCATTTTAAAAGGGTAGAATGGGGACTTTGTTAAATGCCAGAGCAGTAACTTGCTGAAGGATGGTTCTCCACTTCTTTGTGTTGCTTCAGCCTGGAGGTGGGCACTGATTTGACAGGATACAAAATGATGTAGAATGATGTAAAATGATGTAGAAATGATGAAAGAAGTCCTAGTAGATAACTGCAGATATGGGATGCCAGCTCTTTCTTTCCTTGGGCCCTCTGAGCCCCATTCTTAGAACACAGCTCTCCAGAAAATGCTATTCCTGCTGGGAAGAGTCGGTCTGGCTCTGATCGCCTTTGGCATATGGACTACACAGGACCCAAGCTGTGAGAGTTAACTCAGATTTGGGAAAAGTCCTCAGAGGTGGGGACTCTGGAGAGCAAAAGTCCACCCCAAATAGGTGTTAGGTTGTATTTAAGGTCTTATTTTTTAAACCATTATTTTCATTTTATGTGAATGGGTGTTTTGCCTGTATGTGTGTCTGTGTGCCACATGTGTGCGGTGCCCCAGAAGCCTCTCTTGAATTTGAACCCTGGTCCTCTCAGCCAGTGTTCCTAAGGGACCATCTCTCTAGCCTCCAGCCTTGTATTTATGTTGTTTGTTTGCTTGGTTGTTCTTTCTCTCCCCTCCCCACCCCCCCAAATGGAACTTCTCTGTGTAGCTCTGGCTGTCTTGGAACTTGCTCTATAGATCAGACTGGCTTCAAACTCAGAAATCTGCATGCTTCTGCCTCCTGAGTGTTGGGCTTAAAGGCATGGGCCACACTGCCTGACTATTTTTACATGTTTTGTTTGCTTGGTTTTTGAGACAGGGTTTCTCTGTAGCTTTGGAGTCTGTTCTAGAACTTGAGCTGTAGACCAGGCTGGCCTCGAACTCAGAGATCCACCTGCCTCTGCCTCCCAAGTGCTGTGATTAAAGGTGTGCGATACCACTGCCTGGCTGTACTTCTTATGTAGCCCACCTGGAGATTTTCAGAACCTTTTTAAACAGGGAGGTATTTTAAGCATGCTATAGAACATTTTGGAAATATGGTTTACTCATTATGTAACTAATAAAATTCATCTTTAGCACGTTAATTTTTATTTTATTTGTATATAGTTTTAAAAACATTTAATTTTATTCTCATGATACATTTTGTGGAATGTTTTATAAGTATTTATGACATATATACAGTATTTATAAATGTGTTATAGTTATGACTTTTCCCTGCCTCTCTTTATTTTCTTGTTTTTCATTACAGAAATGAGCCGTCAGACTGCTACAGCCTTACCCACTGGCACCTCAAAGTGTCCACCATCCCAGAGGGTACCTGCCCTGACTGGCACAACTGCATCCAACAATGACTTGGCGAGTCTTTTTGAGTGTCCTGTCTGCTTTGACTATGTGTTGCCACCCATTCTTCAGTGTCAGAGTGGCCATCTTGTTTGTAGCAACTGTCGCCCCAAACTCACATGTTGTCCGACCTGCCGGGGCCCATTGGGATCCATTCGCAACTTGGCTATGGAGAAAGTGGCCAATTCAGTACTTTTCCCTTGCAAATATGCCTCTTCTGGATGTGAAATAACCCTGCCGCACACAGAAAAGGCAGAGCACGAGGAACTCTGTGAGTTCAGGCCTTACTCCTGCCCCTGCCCTGGTGCTTCCTGTAAGTGGCAAGGCTCCTTGGATGCTGTCATGCCCCACCTGATGCATCAGCACAAGTCCATTACAACCCTGCAAGGAGAAGATATAGTTTTCCTTGCTACAGACATTAACCTTCCTGGTGCTGTTGACTGGGTGATGATGCAGTCCTGTTTTGGCTTTCATTTCATGTTAGTCTTGGAGAAACAGGAAAAATACGATGGTCACCAGCAGTTCTTCGCAATTGTACAGCTGATAGGAACACGCAAGCAAGCTGAAAATTTTGCTTATCGACTTGAGCTAAACGGTCATAGGCGGCGATTGACTTGGGAAGCGACGCCTCGATCTATTCATGAGGGAATTGCAACAGCTATTATGAATAGTGACTGTCTAGTGTTTGACACCAGCATTGCACAGCTTTTTGCAGAAAATGGCAATTTAGGCATCAATGTAACTATTTCCATGTGTTGAAACGGCAATCAAATATTTCTGGCCAGTGTTTAAAATTTGCATTTGACTTCACAGAAAATAAGGCACCCATCTGCTTGCCAACCTAAAACTCTCCTGGTAGGTAGAAGCTAGATACATGAAGGTAATTAAAAAGAAAGGCTGTTAATACAGGAAACAGTTGCATGTAGTAACACTAATATATTTAAAAATAATTCAACAGTAAACCACTGAAAAAATATATATATACCTAAGATGGGCATCTTTTGTATTAAGAAAGGAAACATTGTAAAATATTTCTGAACTTTGTGTTTGTTGTAGATTGATTGTATTGTTGACAACAATTTTTTGGGGGTGTGTGTGTCTGTGCACACATGCGTGCACATGTGTGGTTGGTTTTCCTTTAACTGACAAGCCATCTGCGTGGTCATGGACCACTGCTTTCCCCTTGTGAGTCAATACATAGTGCTGCTGTGTTTTTTGTGTTTTTTGTTTTTTTTTTTCCTTTTTTGTGTGTGTATTTGCTAATTTTTATTATAGTTTTTCATTAAATTTGACTTTCTTTTCTGTAATTCAGGTTTTTCTCACTTTTGTACCTTTTAAGTTAGTGTCTTTTTGATATTCATAATTGCTTATGTCAAAAGTTTGTGTTCAGTACATACTTTCTTTTCCTTCAATCAATTTATTAGAAATATTTTTAATTCAGCCCTTTTGTGAAAATAGGAATTCCAGAAAGGAAAGGTAACATGAGAACAGCAGTCAAAGCTGCAGCAGTATAAGATGGTCTTGTCTATGTGAGTCACACCGCCAGGCTTACTCTTTGAAAGGTTAGGTTAGGGAGAAAATCTGATTCATATAAATATTAAAAACAATCAGGCTTTCCTCTCTTCAAATGTCTTGGGCGAATCACATGTTTAAATTGGTTCTTGTATTTATTGGTTTTTCAAAAGAGTGCATCATCATACACAGTATTTGTAATTAAAGTAAATCATTTGTTTTTTTTTTTTTTTAAAAAAGGCAGTTTGCAAAAAATGTTTTTGGTCTTTTATAATTCTCATTAAAAGATTATCTGGCAAATTAAAAAAAATCTTAATGTGTTTACTTTAGCTGTAGGTTTTTTTTTTTTTTTCCTTCTCCCCCCTCTGGAGCTGAGGACTGAACACAGGGCCTAGCACTTGATAAGCAAGTACTCTCCCACTAGGCTACATCCCCAACCCCTGCTCTAATAGCAAGCTCTTTGGTAAAGTCCAAAGGTGTTTTCCTGTTCCAGTCTGTATTTTAGAGCAGAAGAAGGTATGCCACCATTTTGAAATGTGTTAGTTCTATTTTGAAGCACAGGAAAGACTGCCCTATCCTTGATTCTCACAAGGATATTTGGAGTATGGCTAACTAGTGCTGATCTCTCTTTTCCTTTATAAAAAGTGAGTTGTTTCAGAGTCTTGACCCTGCAGCCTGATTGCCAAGTTTCCATGTACTAGTTTAGTTCTACCCAACCTACCCAGCTATGTTACCTCGGGCCCAGTTTCCTAATGTGTTAAGTGGAGTTAAATTATGGTGAGTATGTGAAGGATTAAGTGAGGAACAAGTACTTTAACCTGAACCAGTGCTTCACAAAGCACAAGTATCCAGCCATTGTGTGCCCTTAGTGTCATGTCCCTATTTCTCAGGCACTCAGCAGAAATCTGCCATTGATAATTTTGTGTTTTCCTAGTGGGTACCCCAAGGTTAGAAAGTCACTGAGAATTAATTTGGATTTCTCCTTTATCCTATTTACAATTCTGGATTATGGAGATTGGTTCTGTTAGCCATTTTCAGTACAGGTAAGCCTTCTATTGAATTAGTGGCCATGTGCTATATTTTGTAGCTATAGTTTAGGTGAATAGTTCAGCCACAGATTACAATCAGATTTTTGTTTGCATGAATATTTAGAAAAGCAACTTGTCTCAATAGACAAGGTCTTGTTAGCTGTGGGTGGCCCTGAATCCTATATCTCACCTTAGTCCACCAAATGCTAGGGTTGACAGATAAGTGCCACAAAGCTTGGCCCAAAAGCAACAGAGTATATCTCTGGAGGAATGTCATTTAACATCTCAAATGGCATATCCAGTAGAAATACATACTTTCTTCCATGAAATCAGAGCTGACTAACATTTTTATTTTACTAGTTAAATGTATGTGCATGTTCTTGTACACATTTATTTTGAGAATGTTGGTTATTTCTGTAACCATCACAATGTAACATGATCACCCTAGACATCATGATGGTCATTTTGATGGAAGGCTGGTTGTAATCTTAGAGCTTGGAGGCCAAGGCAGGCTCAAAGCAAAACTTTGTCTTAAAAATAGAAAAAAAAAAAAAAATAACCAAACGAACAAAAAATTTGGACTTTTGTTTTTTTGTTGTTATTGGGCTTGAACCTAGGGCCTCAGCATACCCACAAGTAAGCATTTCACTGAGCTGAGTCCCTAGCAAAAACATTTTAGTAACTTGACCACTCACTGTAATCTTAGCTAATGTGTTGTTTGAGACTTTATTTTTGCTACTTATAAATTAGCCTGTATATTCTTAGTATTACGTATCTCAGTATGTTTTGGACATTAATATTTTAAAAGTCTTGATACTTTTATCAGTACTTTCTGGAAGAGGCTTTATCAATAGGGCCTAGAATCATGAAGAGTTTTGTTTACCTTCTGTTTTTGCTAATTTTAGCAAGTTAAGGCATATTTTATGTATATTTAGCTGCAGGTAAGGTTGACATTAACATTAGCTGTTAAATCTTAATATTCCTATCCTGCAGATGAGAAATGTGGCTACATTTCTTTGTTCCTTTGAGATTTGGCATACACAAATGAACTCTTGTCTTTACATTATTTTGTTAGAGTGAATAATTTCTGTTGATTCCCTGGACCTTTTGGTGTCTCTCAGGAGTTTTGTGGGTAAGGTATACATATCCTCCATGACTTTGTTCTTTTGCTTTTGTTACTCCTGTTTGTTTTGCTCAGGATCAAACTAGGGCCTCTCATGCTATACCCATGGTTCTTAAGCTTGAATTGGGTCAGATTGAATTAAGTTCTGGGCCGGTTTAGTGTGTCAGTGGTTGGGGAAGTTTTCCTTTGCTGTAACTTTTTAAACTGTGTGTGACTTGGAAACTAATTTTTATGTTGTTTGCACTTTGGTGAATTTAATTCAGAAAAAAGTGAAAGCTATTACTCATTTTTTGTCCTCAAAGAATTCTAGAGCTCTTTAAAGTCAAGAACATCTACAATTGATGATAAATAAAATGTGGAGTTTTATTTAGATTCTGGGAAGAAAACCTGGTAATGAATTTGAATTTAAAAACAAAGTAGGCTAGAGAGAAAACTCAGTGGCTGAAAGTACTGGCTGCTCTTCCAAAGGATCCAGGTTCAGTTCCCAGTACCCATGTGGTGGCATACAACTGTCTGTAACTCCACTTCCTGGGGATCTTATGCCTTCTGGACTCCATGGGCACCAGACATGTACATGGTATTCAAATATGCATGCAGGTAAAACACATAAAAAAAGTTACACCTGCCCCCCCTGCAAAAAAAAAAAAAAAAGGCAAACAGAAAGCCCAAAACAAAAAACCTACAACCAACCCAATATTTGATCAAAGCAAGCATAACTGAGGTCAGTTTGTGACCATCTCCTTAGATGGACAAAAATAAGATCAGAATGTAGCAGTGAGTAGAGCATATTACTTACAGGTTTTGTCACTATTTGTATGCATGATCTAAAAATGGTAATCCCAAAGCAGCACTAGTGAGGCTGTGGGAGAAGGGTCATAACATAGTATAGTACACTGCATAGGCAGTTGGGTAGCCTGGGCTACAAGAGACTGAATGTGTTCCATAGTGGGTGCATAAAACACAAGAATTCTCCATGTCTGACTTACCAACAGAAACTTACATTTGTCAAGCTGGTATTATCCAAATAAAGTTTAGCTTTCATACCAAGCACTATATAGTGTATTGCAAGTGAATTTTTATTGAGGACAAATTCTTGATAGAATTAAAATCTTTTTTTGACATTTTTTTTTTTTTTTTTAATGGAGCAGTGCAGCTCTGTAGTGCTGGCTGGCTTGCAACTTGCTCAGTTAGACCTTGGATTCTCAGCAATTGGTGGGCATTAAAACCATACCCAGATCATTTGTTTTTTTAATAAAGAATAATTTTCATTGGAAGGCACACTGCATGTTAATACAAGAAGAGCATTAGTGTTAGACCTTAACCATGAAATTGGAGATGGACTAAGCCTACTTCTCTTGCTCAAGTTGCTGCTAGGACTTTTCCTGGGGAGGGCCTCATACCTAGTAGTTTCTCCTTCTGGCCTGAGTAATGTGACAAACATGTTATTTCATTAAACAAAACTAGTGGATAATCCCAGCTGAATTTTGTATTTGGAAAAATTGTCAAAATTATGTTGGTGTGACTTACTGTCAAGAGTTAATAATATTGTGGTTTACTTCATGTAAGTTTCATAGGGGAAGAAGACACTAAGTGCTTTTACCCTCAGCAGGTGACTATCTGACTTGAGTTGGTTTTGGTTTTGGCATGAAGCATCCTCCAGAATGGCTGGTGTTAAAAGCTTGACCTCATGATGGTATTGAAAAGTGGATCATTGATAACTTCACCAGCGGACATGTTGATGGCTAAATTGTTGGGGGAGGGCTAGCTGGAGGAAGTTGTCACTGGGGAATGTGTTTTCAGTGGGAAATGTTTTTTGTATTTTGGAAGGGTGTTTCTTGTCTTTGAATCTTCCTCTTCTGCTTCCAGCTGCCATGAGGTGAACAACTTTACTCTGGCATGCCTTCCTTTTCCACACCACAGTGTTCTCTTCAATACAAGCCCTCAGCAATGGGGCTCTGTGGATGGAAACCTGAAACCATAAGCCCAAAGAAGTCTTTTTCTCAGGTATTCTATCACCGCAATGAAAAATGACTGTCCCTTCACCTAGTATTAAATAAATGGTAGACATCTGTAACCACTATGCCCCTATGGGCATCAATGTACTGTAGCTCAAGCAGTGACTCTGCATTGGGAGTTGGTGCTGCAAATGAGATCCACTTGTGTTTCCACGATTAGGAGGAGAGTATGTGTTATGGCCACAAGTTGGTTTGTGTTTAGAGATTGAAGCCATGGCCTCTGCAGTGTAAGCAAACATTTTGGAGAATACAAATTTTAATTGCTATCAGGAAAGAGGAAAGAAAATCATGTTTTAGCACATAAACGGACCTGTTGTGTGTGTGTGTGTGTGTGTTTTTTTTTTTTTTTTATAAAGATTCGGGTATATTTTATGTCATTTGTAATCTGGCATCTTATAATCACTAATATACCAATTGGTATTAGATATTTTAAGAACAATTAAAGGCATTTGCTCCTGAATTTGCATATAACTTATTGTGCATCTCAGGATCTCAGTCTTATTTTAGTACATAGGAAAGTGCAGAGGGATGATAAATGAACAGAATCAACTGAAACTATACTATAAAGTTGACAACCAAGGTACTTACAGCTTTATTTGACTTTGATACTTGAAAGCTGTGCATGTGAGAATTCCAAATGATACGGCCAAGGTAGAAAAGAGATGGGCCTGGGGTTGAGGTGTGGTTTGGGTACTTACTCAGTATGTGCAAGGTGTTAGTCCCTAGTGTCATGTACACACACAAGCATGGTCAGAAAGTTAGATAGGCTTATCTCAGTTAACTATTTGTGGCTAGTAAAGGATAAATGTATTTCTCACTGATCTGGAGGCAGAAGTTAGAGGTCAGGGTTGGTGAGTTGAATGGTGGGGGCCAGATGCCCCTACCTCCAAGATGTCGCCCCATTCATTGCTAACTTGGTGGAGAAGTATACCTGCACAAGGTAACTAGCATTCCTAGTGAGGGTGGAACACAAGTATTTTGGGAGGACATAATTGATCAGAGCGCTACCATGGAAGTTCTTCTGGGCACACATCCCAAAATAATTAGGCAGGGATTTGT